AATCTTATCACTATCTATCAAAATCTGCTTTACGATCTCGATTACATAAAAACTACAATAAATTGCTTCGATATTTCTCGGAATCAAACGTGATCGATACGTTCCTCTTATAAAGCCAAAATCCAAGATAGATCTTTGAATAGTCTGATACTTCTGTGATAATCAAGCATTGTTACATAGATAACGAACACGTATTGCCTCTACCTCGGTGTTCTTACATAATAAGTAACAGAATATGCATATTTATATATTAGAATATATAAAATATTTACAATAAATCATGCACAAATGTAATGAACATTTTTTTCGAACAAAAAAAACCTATCACTCTGACATATTCTGTTGATCTATCTAGTCACTAAATGTAGAAGTGTTCGATCGATTTATGTATTTGCCCACAGGCATAAGAAGCAACATTGACTATTCATTTTGCACGACACATTGAGTAAATATTAAAAATCGCACAAATTGAATGTACCCTATATTATTTAAATGCAACATTTTCCTTCTCTCTTTTTCTCTATTTCTTTAAAGATTACGTATATTTAAAACTTTAATTAAATACATGTGTTAATAAATTTACAATATCAAACTCATTCAAAACTCGCCTGTAGAAAGCTTGCGGTTCTATCCGCTAAGCGGCTATAAAGGTATACTTTGTATATATCTGATAACTTGATTTGTATAAAAGTTGTATTTACAAACATCAAGCTGGATTTTAAGTGACATATACGATATATATATATATTGTCAAAATCTTATCACTATCTATCAAAATCTGCTTTACGATCTTGATTACATGAAAACTACAATAAATTGCTTCGATATTTCTCGGAATCGAACGTGATCGACACGTTTCTCTTATAAAACCGAAATCCAAGATAGATCTTTGAATAGTCTGATACTTCTGTGATAATCAAACATTGTACATAGATAACGAACACGTATTGATGGCACTTCGTTTATTAGTAACAGAATATGCATACTTAATATTAGAATATATAAAATATTTACAATACATCGTGCACAAATGTAATAAACATTTTTTTCAAACAAGACACACCTATCACTCTGACATATTCTGGTGATCTATCTAGTCACTAAATGTAGAAGTGTTCGATCGATTTATGTATTTGCTCACAGGCATAAGAAGCAACATTGACTATTCATTTTGCACAACACATTGAGTAAATATTAAAAATCGCACAAATTGACAGTACCTTATATTATTTAAATGCAACATTCTTCGTCTCTCTTTTTCTCTATTTCTTTAAGGATTACGTATATTTAAAACTTAAATTAAAACTTAAATTAAATACATGTGTTAATAAATTTACACAATATCAAACTCATTCAAATATTGCCTGTAGAAAGCTTGCGGTTCTATCCGCTAAGCGGCTATAAAGGTATACTTCGTATACATCTGATAACTTGATTTGTATAAAAGTTGTATTTATAAACATCAAGCTGGATTTAAAGTGACATATACGATATATATATATAATGTCAAAATCTTATCACTATCTATCAAAATCTGCTTTACGATCTCGATTACATAAAAACTACAATAAATTGCTTTGATATTTCTCGGAATCGGACGTGATCGACACGTTTCTCTTATAAAACCAAAATCCAAGATAAATCTTTGAATAGTCTGATACTTCTGTGATAATCAAGCATTGTACATAGATAACGAACACGTATTACTGCCGGCATTCGTTTATAAGTAACAGAATATGCATACTTAATATTAGAATGTATAAAATATTTACAATACATCGTGCACAAATGTAATAAACATTTTTTTCAAACAAAACAAACCTATCACTCTGACATATTCTGTTGATCTATCTAGTCACTAAATGTAGAAATGTTCAATCGATTTATGTATTTGCTCACAGGCATAAGAAGCAACATTGACTATTCATTTTGCACAACACATTGCGAAAACATTAAAGAAAATACACAAATTAAATATCTGTATTTAAGTATCTATATTATTTATATTATTATATTATTATACTGTTTATATTATTTTATTATTATATTTTTTATATTATTTAAGTACGAATCATTACCTCTCTCTTTCTCTCTCTCTCTCTCTCTCTCTCTCTAAAAAAGGATATATATATATCTTTAATCTTATAATAAATACACGTGTCTCATTATTAAATTTACAATATCAGATCTATTAAAATGTTATTCAGAAAGCTTGCGATTCTATCCGCTAAGCGGCTATAACTTGATACTTAATATATCTGGAAATACTTTAAATTTGTGTGTGTAAAAGTTATATTTAAAAACATCAAACTAGTTTTAAAGTGATGTATATGTAATATCAAAACCTTTTTACCAATAACTCTACCAAATTTGGTTTACGATCTAGAATACGTTAAAAAATTACAATACAAAGCTGTACTACTTCTCGGAAACGATCGTGGGTCTTATGTTTCTTTTATAAAGCCAAAATCTAAAGTAGATTTTTGGATAGTCTGATACTTCTGTGATAATCAAGCATCGATATATAAACAACGAACATATAAGTACAAATGATTATTCCATAAGTAACAGAATTTGAGTACTAAAATGCATAAAATGTTTGTTAACATTATGCAATGTATAATAAACATTTTCTGCAAGAAGAATCAAGAAGCAGGATTTCGTGTCAAGTTTCACGCGCAACGAAGTTCGCGTGCAAACCTCTCGCAAAGCACATTAATCATTCATTAGTATCATTTTCTGTTGATTCTCTAGTCACTATTCGTTAAGTGTGTTTCATTAAATGTGTATATATCTCCTCACAGGCACAAGAAGTAACATTGACTATTCATTTTGCAACATTTAGCAAAAAAATTAAATATCACGCACAACTTTACCACCATAATAATTTTAACTTTTTTTAACCATCATAATTAGCAAATATTTATAAAGACTGTATTGCTCGGTTAAAACGTTCGCAATCTGTTTCAATATTGGGTTGGTTAAAAAGTCTTTTCATATTTTAATATGAATTCGAATTTCTCGAGATTACGAAAAGACTTTTTGAGCAATCTAATAATAAAAATCTTTTAAAAAACACCATGTTCGCAGATTCTTATTGACTTGTTTCAGTCATTTATTTGAAAAATTAGAGCTAATATCACACTGTAGATCTATAATTTATATTAACTAGCACAACACAGGCGCGCGCTACGCGCACGCTATTGTTATTTTTATTTAACGTGTTGTCAGTGAACACAACCTGTCACCGCGATGACAGATAGTATATACGTCTTATAAACCATATAATACACATATGAGAAATGTCAGAAATAACGCATAAAAATCAAACTCAAAAAATAGTGAGAGAGAAAAGTGGAAAAACAATATAATATAATTACGGTATATATATATACCGTAATCACGTGACCAAAGTCAGTAACACTGCCGCGGTCGCGCGGCCGAGGTCAGTGACTCCACCGCAGTCGCGCGACCGGGGTCATTGACCCCGCCGCGGTCGCGCGACCGCGGTCAGTGACTCCACCGCAGTCGCGCGACCGAGGTCATTGACCCCGCCGCGTTCGCGCGACCGAGGTCAGTGACTCTCCCCCACCAAGGCCGCGCGGCCGAGGTCAGTGACCTTACGGTAGTATGTATATAATATATATAATATATAATATAAAGTATAACATTATAAATATAAATATATAATATAAATTATATGTATAATATATATTATTTAATATATTATTATTATTATATATTATATATTATATATCATATATTATAATATATTATGACAGCTAGTACACGTACGACAGTATGACATGAATCAAGAAACACATTATCCGAGAAACGTCACCGAGACGTCCAATCAACGTCGCGGAAAAGAGGTAACAATCAAGATCGATATAATCGATTCTGATTATTTGCACACGCTTTTTCTGGCAGGAATATATGTATGTGTTATCAAATTTGCACAATATCACAAACTCATTCACAATTTTATTTTTAATATTAAAAACGTTAAAATCTTACTGATAGGATTGCAATTCTATCCACTAGGCGGCTGTAATTGTATATTGTATGCATATCTTTTACCACTTAATTACTATAAGAATTGTATTTCAAAAGTCAAGAGCTAAATTTATAAAACGGTAAATTTATATAAACGGAATATGCATACGTAACATTTGGACTCATAAATTGTTTGTCATAATATCTCGCGCGATTATAAATAAACATTTTTTTTACAGAACATGCTTGAGTGAATCAATTTTTACTATCATATTCCATGGATTTTTTCTAGTCATCTAATCGTTCTGGAAAGTATTCAAACAATTACAAATTTGCTAACAAGCACAAGAAGTAGCATTGACCATTGATTTTGCAACAAAATGTGTCAGCCAGACTTGTTTGCTCATCTGATTTTTTAACACGCCATAAAAATTATTAGATTCCAGTATAACGACTAGAAAAATTAAAAACGAATTAAACATGCAATCGCACTACCAAAAAATACGTCCCCATATATGCAATAAATTCTCTTTTTTCAGAATATTTTTTTTTTTTAACGGTGATATCGTGTTTGCGTTCATTATAAATTTTTCCTCTCGTGAGGTAGAGGCGAGCTGTAAAACCGAAAAACGCGTCGGAGGAAACCGTGCTCCAGTCGGAGCAGTAATAACGGGAACGATAAATGTCTTCGTTACGTCTCGCGAAATAACCGTGTTGAAACAGCACAAAAATAAATAACGAAAAAGCCGCGCAAACAGGCCCTCGTTTTGTTTGACCAAGAAATCATCAGAATATAAACGCGGACTGTTAAATTGTGGAAGAGCACGCAACAGTTACGCACACCATTACCGTTAGCAGAAAAAATTGTTCGTTCAAATTTTTCATACTCACTTCGCTCGGTCTACTCGCCGTGATCATTAGTACAGCGTCGACTACGAACTGATGGTCAATGACGAACCGTGTGCGTCAAATCTTCGCACTTACGTCACGTGATTTTGGGTTTTGGGCATTGGATCATTTCTTTATCAATCAGCACACACAACAAGAAACGATTGTTTACTCGAAAACTTTAAAGTATTACTTACTCTTCCAAAAAGCTCGCACAAAGATTTTAAATCGCATATAGAAATATATATTTTTTTTCAATTTGTGCAGCAGAGTTTGGTTTGGCACGAATTTTTGAGCGTGTAGTTGAAAAACGATCGACCTATATTTTGTTTTCAGGTAACACATATGATCCGAGTGAATATTAGCGCTTCGTACGATGGATATGTCAGACTATCGACAGCTTTCTTTTCTCGTTGGATGTTTAAACTGGCTGATCCTCGCTACGGATTCGATGATCGTTCACGAGAATACGGAAGGTGACGTCGAGCCTAAAATCTTGTCGCGACCTAAGAGGTACTTGATTTTTCCGCAGGGTAGTAATTTACAGGTAAATTTACTTAACTAAATGCGCTTGAAAGAAAGAGAGAGAGAGAGAAAAGAAACGTCTTTAGGATCTGAATTTTCTTAACGTCGTTAATTAGCTTAAATTCTATAAAATATTGCTCGTATCAAACGAGATTCTGCATAAATTGTGAATAATATTTGATTTTCTGCGATTTTACATTTGTTACAAATTTACATTCGTTAGCGAGGCTGTTTTAAAGACGAATTTGCATTACAACGCTGAACGGAAAATCAGGCCGTCGTCGCGTAAATTCGGCCAAGTGTTTCGTTTTGTGTGTTTTCACAAACGCGAGCGAAATTTTATCGCTTCGAAATTTTGGTACACAGATAAAGTAGAAAAGTAAAGTGTCCCCGTGCGCGCGCGCACGCCCAAGCTCTTCTTCAGCAAAATTTACGTGGAAAACTAAATTTGCGCGGCGGATGTTTCGTGTATTTTCCAGTTAGTGTATTGTCTGACTATCGGAGCGTATGGCCGAGACGGTGATTTGGTGGTGGGACTGACAGCTGCCTTAGCCTGGGAACTACCGAGTAAGGTCGACTCAAAGATATCGAATTTACTTCACCGTAGAAGCCGAAGCGTCGTATATCCGAAAATGGAGGCTTTCTTGCAATCGTGAGTGTCGTGCCGTTATATCCAACATTTTTCAACCGGCTTTTCCAATCTTTCAACACGTATTCGACCTGACGAAAAATATCACACGGCCGAGTGTGTTCGAAACAGTTTGAAATATACGACGAAAAAAAAGTTCGTACGTTGCGCTCTGTGTTTCCACGCTTGTTTTTTTGAACAAAGACGCGCGTATCGGTTCACGTATGCGTTAATACAATTGTTCAATATAATTCTCCCGAGGTTGACTAGAAAAAAATTTTTTATTACACGGCTGTTCGCTCGTTACGCGCGAGCGACTTTGATATGCGCGTCATGAATACGTAATTACTTTTACTAACCGTGATTGAAATGGAATCATTTTCGAGAGAGAGAGAGAGAGAGAGTAATTGTTTTCACGCGCGAAGAGAAGAGAAGTTTCTCGCCGCGCGGAGTTGTCGCCGAATGTCTGTCGGGAAATGCTTTTAAATTGGACTTTATCTACAGCATTGGTCTGGATGGCAGATTCTGCGTGATGAGGGCACTTTGCGAGGCGGGACAGCGAGATCCCGCTCAAGTGGGCACAGGATCCTTCGTTCAAGAACTGCTCCATGCAATTTTCACGTAAGTTGTCTATTTGTATTCAACTTTCGAGTTTTTATTAGAATTTGTCACATCTCGGAGTTCATTCTACAAATCGTATTTTTTTTTTTTGGTTTCTGATTTTAATTCAATTCGCGATTCGTGTGTTTTGCAGATTGCCCAAGGACAACGGCAGATTCGAGCGATCGGAGGACCGAGCTTACGATAGCGCGTACAAAACGGGCGGAAATTGCGGCCAGCTGTATCCCACGTGCCGTTACTCTATTTACGACATGGACTTTTGAAACTGCGGCGAAAGCATCGACCGATCCCCTCATTACGACGTCCGGGATGCGCGCCGCAAACTGCGGACTGCGGAATATGCATATATACGTGCGAACGCCGCGACGCTGCGAAATCTGTGATGGGAGAAACTTGCTCGCGATGTGTCTTAGCGAAGTTTTTCTGGCAACCGGCCCGGTTACTTTTCCCGCCTGACGTTCGGTGGTTTTCGCGTGTCATTTCGCTACGTCACGTAAACCGGATAAAACCGGTCTATATCCTCTCTTCGGTCCTTTGTCGTTTCAAATTGGTTTTGCGCGGTTCGGTCACTTTTTGATTGAAGCAGATTGTTTTTGGGAAGGCGAAACGCACACGTAAAAGCGCGCTTTTGCCCAACATGTTAATCGAGTTTGAATTTAAATTTATATGCGTATCCTACCAATTATATGCGATGTATATAAAATTATTCATGTATTTTAATAAACTATATATTAAGTGTGAGATTGAATATCGTTACGTATTACCGCAACGCGTCTCGTATTGATTAACGCGCGATATGCAATGTAAAGCCTGTGCGAGAAATAAACTTAACGTGTAATAAATAAAATCTAGTTTTTTTTATTTTTTTTTATTTTGCTCTCACCCTTTATTTTTTTTTCGATTTTGATAACATCTCACGCTACGCGCGTTATCGCATTCGCGTTTGATGTGTCGCGAAACACCACATTTTGCACAAGTGTGAGTACGGAATTTTCGATAACAAGATTCCCGCGGACCACCGTCCACACACGGTTGGAAGGGGGGTGACAACGATTATTTAACGTCAAACCGACGACGACTTCGACGATTGAGGGGGACGGGGAGGGGGTTAAATTCGAGAAAGTTTCGCGCGAGCCTCACGCCATGAATATTCTATACCCGGTCATTACATTACTTCCGCAACGTGTAATTCATTTTGGCGCGGTTTCGAATAATTTCACGACGTTTTGCATTAATAAAACGGTCGCAACCGGCGTCCCCGTGTCGATTTATGGTTCATTTCTGCAGAGTGCTCCGACGAAACGTGTCGGTTCATCTTTCTTTTTTTTTTTTTTTTTTTTCCAACCGGGGAATAAAATATGCCAAATACATCTCGGCGGATACGTCGGCGCGGAGCTTGTAACAAACGTCTAATCGATATTTCGCTATCGCCAAAGTGTTCGGCAAACATTTTACGTTACACGCTCGCTCGCGCGCACGCGGTTCGTTTGTCAGTATATTTATCACGCGCAAACGCGACGAGTTTAGTCGTACATCCGCCGTATGTAAACGCTCGCTCGTGTTTGCTTAATAATTTTACCGCATAATTATACGCTCGTTTATTGACAACGTGTTCGACAATGTGTTCTACACAGTCACTTGACGCGATACTTTTAATCGACAAACCGGTAAGTTCCGAGATAATTACTCGAGCTCTCGTTTTACAGGGCGCGTCAAAATTTTATCGTTATCCGACAATCGCGCGGGAGAATAATAATAATAATAATCGAGACATACATTTCGGATTCTCTCGGCGAGGAACGTTTTTTTTTTCTTCGACTTGACCGAAATGATGTTCTCTCGCAAAATCTGCGTGTTCTCTCCGGCAATGCGCGAGGAATATAATTGCGCGACACACATGACGTGTAACACATACATCGAAAATTAGATTACTATCATTGGTAAGCGCTTAATTGATTCAATAATTATATCACGCACACACGTTCTGCGCTCGCAACGTTTCAGTTATTTTAGCAACGAATATCTCTCTGAGAAGATAATTATTGTAGAATTTTGTTTGCTCCGAAATTTAAAAAAAAAAAAAAGAGCGTGTACGAGATTATTATTACAATCATAATTTCTTTATCAAATTATTAATTATTATTTGTCAAATTGCTGTGTTATTCATTTGTTTAACACAGTTTGCAAACTGTTCTTACTTTAAAATAAACAACAAACAAATTGCACAAAAGTTACCTCTCATTTGCTCATCGCTAAACCAGCCGTAATGTGTTACCGTTGATTTTAGCACGTACCAATTAGCGACATTTAGCGTCCGTACTCCGTGTGCGCACAGGTAGCAGCCAGTTTCCCCGTGTGTTCTGTCGTCAGGATTAGGAGTTTAGCTCCGTTCGAGGTAGAACATGAGATCGTCGCAACCGCCATGCTGATTAATTATTTCCGTCACTGCCTCCTGTTCGGTGTTTTCGTGCCCTGCTTCGGGGATCTAATGAATCTAACGACATACACGAACGAATCGCTTGCGAGACGCGAACGAGAAGTTGGAACCAAGTATCTGATATTCCCTCAAGGCAGCAACGTTCAAGTAAGACAAACTTTCATTTATACACATGTGGCAAGCAAACATTGCGGCGTAGACTCACGCGGGAAAGATAATTCGCGGAAGTTGCAAACTGTGTGCGCTTTTCGCAACGTACGTGAAAATGCGCTCACAACAAGAAAACGTTACTTGTTAGACCTCGAATCGCGATCCGTTATTAAAATGAAATCACGATCGTCGTGCGCGCGCGATTTTCCGCAACGTGCAGCAGACAGGATCGATACAAGTTCTGCTGCGTGTAAGTTTTGTTGAGCGATGTTGCACGTTACACGGTTGCATACACAACATATAAATTCTCGATGTACATAGTTCGAAAAGTTTCGTGTACGCCGAAACGAAAGTTCCCTTTGCGCGTAACATTCGGAAAGAGTCTAATAAGCAGAGTAGCTCGAATATCGCGCCAACTATTTTCGCAAACGAATAAATATATTGCGGTTATGGCAAACATACTATTGCAACACATTGTACGTAATATAACAATAACAATACGTCACAACACATATATTGCAAAAATAATTTTGTATTCTTGATTTTGTACATATGAATAAATAAACGAAAGGTAATTCTCGCCTCGATCGTTCTTTTTAAATTTTCTTGTGACATTACTTCGACTTTCTCATGCAGCTCGTCTACTGTCTGACTGTCGGCACGTACGCGAAGCCCCAAGGAATCTTCACCGTGGGCGTTACGGCCGGGCTGGCCTGGGAACTACCTCATAGAAATACCGTGCCGTACAGAAAACCGGCCGAGGTTTATCATCGTCGGAGCAGACGAGAGCTGTACCGCAAAGTAGAGCTAATGCTAAAAACGTGAGTACGGACGGATGGACGCAAAAGAGCGAGAAATGAAACCGAACAGAGAGAAAAAGAGATCCATATCGATATACGAGTTTAATAATAAAAAAAAAAAATAAATAAAAAAATAAAAAAAAAATCGTATAAATTGCGTGACTGTAAAGCCGATGTTCGTCGAGACGTAAGGAAAACAATTTGAATTACCGCCGCTAGACTGGATTCGCGATATTTCGTCATTTGTCGAGAAAATCGAATACTTCGTCACTAACGCATCCGTTTCTATTTCACTCTCTTCCGTCGATCCGATTTCTCTGGCCTTCGTTGAAAAGACCCAATGGAAAAATGATAATTCGATTGAACGTGGACGAAGAGAGCGCAACGACTTATTGGCGAGTGTTTGTTTCAGCAACTTGTTGGACAAAGTAACTTGTCTCCCCCTCTTCCCTCTTGTCCCTCGTTTTCCTCGATACGAAGGTAAAAATAGAAGCGAGCCATTATTGAAAAGCTGCCTTTTTATCTTTACGTCAAGAAACTTTATAAAAGTTCTTATTTTCCGAAACACAACTTTTTCCCCGCTCAAAATCGATCGATCCGGAAAGAAATTATAAAAAAAAAAAAAAGAATCGGAAAGTTTAGAAAACAGACAGGTTTCCTCTGTATGTAAGATATCGAGTTAATCGACGTTTACTGTTAAAAGTGGCCGTCTCGCTCAACTCGGGAACGTAAAGAATCGCGGGCGTGACTGTAATAAAAATTACCGCGCGGTAAGTTCAAATATAATTTCCCGCGGTCGGCAAAACACGCGCGACGAATGAATTTCACGGCCGATAGACCGGCAGGAAAACGCTCTCACAAACGCTCGCTCGAGCGACAAGCGGATTAAGCGAGGGGGAAAAGGGAAAGGGTTGGAAAATGGGCTTGGGAAGAAACGATTTCCGACTCGGCGATTTTAAGTATGACGAACGATATAATGCCATTCGACGGAGCGCGCGCGCGCGCGCGCTCGTCGTTTTCGAGTGCCTCGCCGGACACGGCCGCGTTTGCGGCCGTATTAAACGCGCGGATTAAGAGGCTTTTCACAATGATCACAACGCTCCGGCGCGCGCAGTTTCGAGAGAGGTGAAAATTGGGTCGAAACTGCAAGGATCACGCGGCGAGAGCGGCCGACGAGAGTTTCGAGCGTTTGTTTGCTCGTAGCTCGCGTTTGCTTTTTTCTTTTTTTCTTTTTTTTTTTTTTGTTTCGAAGTGGTATTATTTTAGAGAAAAAAATATAGAGACGTATTTAGGAACAGTTTAATTAAAGTGTTTTTGTTGGAATTAATGCGAATAATCGACACGTTTTGCAGCGGAAGTTTCACGTAGCGGTGTGTTTGCTCCGGATGCTTGGCGTAAACAATTTGCTCGCGAGCAGTTATATTCGTCGTCCGCGAATTGAACCGGGACCAACAATTCTATTACAATATTGACGTGTATTTTAATATAATTTCCGATTTGATCGGATTTATATAGTTTGATGTCGCGCGACGATGATCTATTTTGTACAAACAGATCAGTCGTGACAATAGAGCAAATACTACGCGCCGGCTCTCTCGACGATTATAGTTGAGATCGAACAGCTCTGTGCCGAAAGCTCTCTGGTCCGCGTGTATCTTCAATTGTTTCCAGGAAAAATTACTTGATCGAGAGCCGCTGATTCGCTCGCATCATTTAACGAGCATTGAACTCGCCGATTCGATTCTCGCACTACTAGTATCGTTTAATAAACTCCGCCGATTCGACGACGTTAATTTTTTCGAACCGCCGTTGCTTTTTCGCGATCAACCGCGTCCCATCGTCGTGAACGTTCATTCGCGCGAAAACAGTAAATTCCGAATAATTAATGAATCACCACGACGCGTCGACCGATGTCGTTTTTTTTTTTTTTTTTTACTCACCGCGAATTCTGTACTCTGCGTCCAAGCCGCGAAAAGAAATATACGACCGCTGTTGTTTGACGCTCGGTTGGGGAGAAAAAAAAAAAACATTGCGCGGCGTTGCACGTTGCGATACTTTATTCTCTATGTCGCGCTATATCGCTCCGGAGTTTCGTGGACGTTGGCGTGAAACAGCCTTGGAAAAGTCTTGAGGTCGTCGAGTCGTCGCACGAAGAAATAAAACATTGCTCGCGGCGCATATATTTTGATTAAAGATAAATTGTTTCGATTGTGAAAAATTGCGCGCGTCACATTCGTCGTTTGCGCAACAAAGATTATCGTACGTGCAAAACTTATAAGTTAATTTTTTTAATATTCGCCATCTAACGACAGACCTCGTTTGTTAACTCCCTCGCTTGTTGTTTTAAAATGAATTTCGATCGAATTTTATTAATAACATCAGATATAAAAAATTTTGCGACTAACGCGACGCATCTCCCGATCTCGTTGTTATTGATAAAGTTTGCGCAAAAAAAAAAACGCTTAGCGAGTTTCAATTTATTATTTAACAGAGCGCGATTTAAAATTTACAAAAAAAAAAAAACAGTTTATCGTGTCGCGCGCATCAACATCGTAACGTGAAGCAGCACTCACGGGCCGTCGATCACGTGTACGTTGTACGTAAACCCCTTTCGGCGCGAATAAATCACCCCGTAATTGCTTAACTTGCATAGACTGCCGGCTAGACACGTATTCCACTCGATACGACGGCAACTCCCGATCGTGGCGTATTCCGAGCGATCGTAACTCCCGCCACAAGCTACAGAGCCAGCCGGCGAAGTTTCGTCTAAGAGTCGGACGCCGAGTATAATCCCGGAGAAGCAGCGGTTACTCTAATTCTAATTGCGCGGAGCTATACAGTCTAATTGCTGGTATTCGCAACGGGCGAGGGGAAACGGGGGGGAAAAACGAGGAGAGAGAGAGAGAGCTCACGGTTGTTTAGCAGAGGGAATCGCGGTGGATGATGAGGGAGAGAGAGAAAGAGAAAGAGAGGTTTCTAACCGAGAAGGGAGGAAACGCGCACGGGGGGTCATTGTGTAAACCACCCCCGGGTTTACAGCCGGGAACGTTTCGCGGCAATATCAACGTGCTCTCCGGTATTATCGCGAACTTAATGAATAGATCGCCGACTCTCGAAGAGAGAGAGAGAGCGACAACGATAACGAGGATGATAATGATAAACGATCCTCGTTTGCTCTCGAATCTTCATCCCCATATATCTCATCTTATGTCCGCCGTGAAGCCAGGCGAAGAACGGCAAGGCCTGTGTCCTCAAGGCGATCTGCAAGGCTGCCAGGCGTGAGCGCGAGAACGTGGGAAAAGGAACTTTTGTCGAAGAAATTCTACACGCCGTATTCAGGTACGTGCATGTGTGTGCGCGCATGGGTGTGATCGATAAATTCAATAAACTTTCTTGTTTGCGCTTGTTTTTGTCTTTTCAAACATTCCCTTCGAGGTACGTTATAAAAATCGCATAAATCGCGAATATATATATATATACATAGCGTTCAGACAGCGTGAGGAATAATAATGATTGCAGTTTGCCCGGAGGACGGTTCGACATCGATCCGATGACCGAATACGAGCGAACTTATCACTTGGGTGAGAATTGCGACGAGGTGCAAGCAAAGTGTCCAGATGTCTTCTGAAGTGCTGCAATCAGCGTGATCATCTTATACGAGAAACGAGCAGCTATCACGAACGTCTTCCTTCCTGTTCCAACCCCCTTTCGCCGGGGGTAACCAGATTAGCGGAGTGTGGCTAGAACCGTAAACTCGGAAGATATTGTCGCGGACTTGAATTAAACTTGATGTCAGAGACGGGAGAACATCAACTTATTTAAAATGTTTTTCGCGTGTTCATTTCTCTTTGATGTAAAATTAAAAAACGACCTGTAAACTTAAAAAAAAGATACGCACAATGCAATTTTTGCGCATGTTGTTCTCTCTCAGATAGATTGCGTGAAGTGTTTTCAAAGTTTTGTAATTTTTGTGTGTTTTTTTTTTTTTTTTAAAAAGTTACAAAAGCAAGTGAACGCAAGTACGTGATGAGATCGACAACAATGTCGGCAACAACGACATCAGCAATTCGAATTATGCAGTCGACGTGGTTCTTGGAATTTCCCTGTAACCACCAAATTGCTCGGATTACAACAGAACTTTCAGCATCTCTCAGAGAAAGGAGAAGAGAGAGAGAGAGAGAGAGAGAGAGAGAGAAAGAGAAAACAAGTGCAATTACTACTTACCTTGTGCGCTAAAGTTTTAATTACTTCTTAAATAAATATTTAGAAATTATGCGAATTACAACAAACACGCATACACATTGCGCATGTATATTGTACAAATGTAATAAATAATTAAACCTTATCTTATCATATTAATTCAAAGAGAGTGTAAAATTCTATTTTCTCTACCCCCCGAACGCGCGCAGTATAAATTAAATTAGTTTTTTTTTTTGAAAATAAACATTCCAATGTCAAACCGAGATGTATGGCAAAAAAATGAAAATAAACCAGTGATTTATGTAAATTTATACCGTGATTGAGGGTTTAAGAGAAGTTAGTCTACTACGTGCTGCAATCTTCACTTAATCTTGTGAGAAACTGCTATCGGCGCGCCAAACTTTCGGATAAACTCCGCCGCAGCATCATACCACGACATCAACCCTCGGCGTCGTCGTCGCGGGGGAGAAGGAGGAGGCAGAGCTTCGGGGATTGCGATTTGTGAATTGACGACGACTCGCGCTAATGACATGTGACGCGAACTCGACTACCAGCTGACGTTCTCAGGCTGGGAATTGCATTATATGTTGGCCTGCCACGTCAGCGGTACGTGCAAACACACCGTAATGCGGATCGTAACGTCGACATGTAGCGGCGGCGCGTTCGCACGTATGTCTTGAAGCTACGGCGGAAATGCGCACGTGCGAGGTAGACGCGCTATATTATTCCGCGTGCACGATCTATTATTGCAAGATAAACAGATGAATCTCTGGGTTTGTCGGTTTCCTTAATGGCGGTTCGGGAAATATTCCCGAAATTTATCGCGAAACGAACTTCGCGAAGGACATTATATCGTTGCGTCGCGAGGAAATAGTAGGGAGCTTATAGAACGGTCGCACAACTTCTAACGAATCATCTGATACATGCTCCAAAGTATCCCTCGGTGTATAATAGATCGTAGAATATATCTCGAGGGTGTGTCGCGCGAGGGAGAAAGAGAGAGTGTGAGAGACAGTCGATAAAGAGATTACCAGGCTATATTACGTCGACGAAGCTCCTTGCATTTGTGCGATTAACTGAGAATTCCCGCGCGTTTCTTCGGAACGAAAAAGAGAGAATCGTGTGCGCGCGCGCGCGCGCACGGTTTTAAGTATTAAATAAATCACGCGATTTTATTCCTCCCCGCCTCCGTAAAAGAGGGGTTGCCGAGCCAGAATTGGCAGTGTCGCCGGTCGAAAAGAGTACAAAATGGATTTAAGTGGCGGGAGGATTTCGAGGAGGATTCGAAAGTTCAAAATGAAATTACCCCCGCTGAGATGGGAGCTGCGAAGATGGTCAGAGAGCACTCTCGAATCCACGGAATTGGATAAAACAGGCAGTCGGTTCCTGAATATATTTTGCGAGATTTACGAAATTTAAAGGCTCTTCTGTGTAGAAGAAAGCCGCAGCCGCGGGAGAAAACGTAGAGAGAGAGAGAGAGAGCCGATGAACCTCTCATAAAGAACCAGCCCAGAGCTTACGGCGAGATTTTTCAAGATTAGCATGCCGGAAAAACCGGAGGACGTCCGCAATAAGGGACAGCTTGTCAGATTTTAATGGTCCAGGTCGAGAGAGACTCTCGGAGAGAGAGAAGTAATGAGTTCTATTCATCGAACTCGAAGAAATTGAACAAAATCAGTACTTATATATCAGTCTGATTATTCAGCAACGTAACTTATGAATAAATAAAATAAATGAGTATAAATTTACAATAAATGTGCTGACAGTTTGGATTTCGCGAGCCATTGCTGAATTTTCTCTCACACTAATCGTTTGTATAAGTGTTGATATTTAAAAAAATATTTTTTTTTTTTTATTTAAAAATATAAAAAGTATTTTTTTAATGAAATACTTTGCCGACTTATTTCTTCGAAACGGTGTTGCGCGTGATGAAATATTAAGATGTGACAAAGACTGCAATTTATTCCGCGATATGTGCCACACTGGAAAGATCTCGCCGAGACATAAAATATGTCGGAGAAATACGCGCGGTTATATTCGGTATCTACGTTCTAGATAGAGCCGCGTACTTTATCACAACCGCGAATGCGGGTTTTCTTGCACAAGTATCCGCGCGTATATAACTGAAAATTACGAAAAATTTAACGTCGTACATTCACGACGAATATCCGGGATCGCATTTTTAAAAAACCGTTTTGCGCGAAGACAAGTTATACGTACACGCGCGGTTCGCAATGTATTTTCATGTTACGCGCTACGAAAATAAAATTTAACAACAATCGACGCGAGTCGCAGTTATAAAGTTTCGCCGAATCGAACAACCGTGTGAATTTCACACTTAAAATATTCATTCCGCGTGTATTCCCGCTCTCGTTTTGACAATTAGATCTCTCGTAGCGCGTGACGGACGCGATAATTCGCGGCGCAAACACGAGCAGCGTGACGCCATTTTCGCGTGGTCGTCGCTCGGTCCCACGACGACTCGGTTTTACACGCCGCGCAATGTAAGTGTGATATTTCGGCGTAACCGCGAAGGATGTTCCCCGGTTTTCTGAAAATGCTTTCTATCCGGTGAACCTCCCGGGAGAGGCCTCGCCGGGACCCCCGCGCGTCGCGCAAAAGCGGGACTGATTTCGTCCGGTAATTCCGAGAAATGAGAGCCCCGTGGCTCGTCCTGATTCTCGCCGTGATCCCGGATCCGTTGTTGCTCCTGGGGGAGGCGGTATGTCACCGTAATGATACCGACTTAAGTGCCATCGGCCAAAGGTCAAGAGAGACTTTGCACAGACGTAGACGACGGGAACTTGCTTTTCCGAAAGGAAGTGCTTTCGTGGTGAGTTTCAAATCGGCCAAATTGTCCGTCTTTTGTTACGTCGGACTTTTATAACGGTGTCGTTACTTGCTCTCCACGGAGATCGGAGTTTGATCGGTTATTTGTTTGCGAGTTTGCGAGAAAACTTTTCTCAATGTATATTCTCAGTTTTATTTTAATTCTATTGAAGTAATATTTTTTTTTTTTTTTTTTTTTTAAAGTTTATTAACGGAGATATCGAGTAAAAACTTTTCGTAAGTCTGTTTGGAATCCGCGTGCGACTTTTTTGTAACGGGGATCATATGTCTCTCCAGGTGACCCTGACTCTCCTGAAGTCTATTCAGATTACTGAGCCTAGTAACTGGAACCTCGATCTGGAATTCGATATGATATGGCCCATACCCAGTCGAGAAGATTTGAGGAAAGCTCTTAAAAAGATCAGAACACCGTCCAAGTTAAAACGTCGGCACAGGCGCGAACTTTATTCAAATTTCGAACTGGCATTGAACAGGTAACAAAAAAAAAATATTTTTTAAAGTAAATAAAATGTTACTAAATAAATATATATATATATATACTAAATACATATGTGTATTAGAAGATCGTGTGTAATTCTAAAATTTTGTTATATATTTTGAATGTAGGTCGGACTTAATTAATTAGCATGGTCCGTTATCTATTTTAGTCAAAACTTACCGGGACGATTATGTGTTCTTCGCGCAATTTGCGAAGCGGAAATAGTGCTAAGTCCCCCGGGATTCTCAATTATCGAGGATGCCGTCCGAATTATTTTAAGGTAAATTGTATTTTCAAAATTGTTTTCGCGCAGCTTGCTAAAACGAGTTTAACAGTTTAGCAAGCGATTTCACAGAGAGTATATACGATGACACTTTATCACAGAATAGTACGATGTAAAATTTATATTTTCCACTTTATTAAAATATAAATTTTAAAAAAATATAAGTTAAACTATAAATTTTTACTTCATCAAATTTAAGTCAAAATGAAGAAATTGAAATATTTTGTGTTTTCTGTAGTTTTTATCTGTGTATGATTTAAAAATACTGCTTTTTTTTTAGGAATTTTGAAGACGATGACGATAACGACTGCTACGACGTTGCGTATCGTACAAAAAGCGATTGCGAAATTGTCTATCCCTGTCCGTTCTCTCTGTTAAAATTACTGTTGTATAATTTATATGCATGAGAAAAGCACGTGACGCGACTGTCTCACATGAAAATGAGATTGTAATAAAGTTTCGCATAAGTTTTTGTATATTTCCGTAAGATTTATATATTACAGAATCTTATTTAAGTAAAAAATATCTGTGATATCATTCTCAGCGCGTATTTTACATCTGATTAAATATTTAATTAAATCACTATATTTGCGAATATAATATTATTCTAAGAACGTGAAACTGTATGTAGAATCTATTATTTTGCGATAAACCGCAATTTCGATCAAACTAGTGCAATCAAAATTTTGAAATTGTATTCCACGTGAAGTACATTTAACATTGTATATGCGCAATTAAGCGAGAGAATGCTGTTTCGTATTATTGAACCCAATCTCGTACATATAAAATAATGAAATTAATTTCACATATTCGAAATTATGATCCAGGTCCGTCTTTATCACTTGTTATCATTTTCAAACGCTCATTGACAGCTACGCCAAATATTTGCCTTTTCTTTTGTGAAAAAAAAAAATAAATAAATAAATTTTTATTTCAACGTTTTCTGTTCAAATGTTCTGACATTTCTCTGTGTTCCTGCGCAACGGTTAACAAGTTAAAGTTACATGATTTTTGTTTGCCGATACGTGTGCAAAATAAATGTGAAATTCAATATTTTTTCAATGCTCAAACTTGACAAACTTTATGATATTTGCCTCTTCATTTTGACATTTGTTCAATTTGATCCAAAAAATATTTTTTAAACTGTAGGTAAAACTCTCGTTTCAATAACATTGATTCAATAACAAATGTTGCTTTTCTCTTTCTCTCTTTCTAAAAAAAAAAAAAAAAAACAAAAAATATTCATAATCAAATTGAACGCGGTGCATTCAATCTGCAACATAATTAACTCTGAGAATTAATATAAACAGTAGGATAATAATCGATAAAAATCCTACTTAGCGATGATGAATATTCTCAAATTTTCGGCGTAACCGCACACAATTCACACACGTTGGCACGTGTGTGTGTGTGTGTGTGCGTGTGCACCAGAGAGAGAGGCACTCGACGCACACACAATACGGGCGGAAACGTTAATCGCACTAATAGTGGCGGCAGTATTTTACGCTCACGCCCCAGCAACGTGTCCGGCTGTTCGGCTCTTGAGCCGTTAATCGTTCGCTAAATAAAGCCGAGAAACGGAAGCGTCCCGAGCGTTGGCCCAGGGACGTTAATGAATTCGACAATGCTACCAGCGCACTCGCGCTAACTGCAATAATAACGGTCGTACCGTATGGGCCGGGAGATCATTCACCGAGTAACCCGCCTTAGCGGACGAGGAGAGCGCGACCGCAGGAGATTTCCAAATATAAGCGAGAGACCAGGTGAGCGAAGGATATCCGGTCCGCGGTTGATACGAGCCCGGCCGAGAGAAAATAAAACAGCTCGTTTCCATTCCATTTTCGTTTGCGCACGCCGACACCGGAGATTCCGGAGATTGGCCGGAATAATTGCTTCGAAGGGTCTATGTGTACGTGTGTATGTCGGCGAGATCGAATACCATCCCGCGTATCGTCGAATGGGACTTGTGGGAACTTTGTGAATTTACATGCCGAAATGTAACACGCGCCCAGTTTATCCAGTGCTTTCGCGTGTGCGAGCGACGCTTTTACCGAACATCGATTCTCGTCAGATAGCAGTGGAAAAAACACTAAGAGTGTGCAGTTTGATTATACACGTATCAGTTTTTTGTTTGCACTTACCGAAACGTTACTTCCTATTTATTTGATTTATTAAAAACCTCTCGGTTTTTTTTAATAAAACTGAAATGACATTTTTATTTCGGCTTATAACGGACGCGCGAACGGAAACAAAGAGGGTAATCGAACGAACAAAAAAAAAAAAAAAAATAAGTGACGTATTCTTCCGTCTTTCGATCCAGTTGCAAAGAAACGAGAGCAAACGAGAGCGAAACGATGATAAAAAAAAAAGAAACTTTGTCAGAGACATGTCGATAATAATGAACCGGGAGCCGATTACTCATCTTCCGTGTCGTGCGGTAGATCAAACGATACAACTTTGCTTTTACATAGGTTTCGTGTTAATGCACTCCCCGCGTTAATTTCATATTGAAGTATTCTTTGACTCTCCGGCAAATTCAGTTCAGCCGGCAAACCCCGGTTCGACAAACTGATTAATCACGCAATCTATTTACGAGCCGCGCGCGTTAACGATAAATTATTAACAGATTGACACATTTAAGAACAACAGCGACATTATGTTAAATTAACTGTGAGAAAAATTTTTGTCACCGCTGACATTTAAATTGCATTTCATGTAAAATTGCATCGATACTTTCTGAAAAAAAATGTTAGTAATTGAAAAAAAAAAAAAACAACTTTACCGAGGGAGAGCGAAGAAACTGGCTCGAAGTTTTAACTTGCGGTGAAAGCCCGAGTTAACATGTCGTGATATTTTCGAGAGAGAAAGAGAGAGAGAGAGAGAAGAAAAAGAATATCGCCGTCTACTCGCCAATCGATCATTCCTCCCTCGCACAATTTTTCTACGGCGAGCTAATTTTCTACTTCCTAAAGAGCTTATCGAAGTAAGTTACCGGTGTATTTTTACCACGGAGGAGATCCGTCTTCCTTTCTACGCAAGATGTTTTATTTGCCCCCGGCACGTGTGACACAAAAATATACTCGGTCAAACTCTTGTCCGACGTGTCTGTCAAACGAGTCTTTGAGGCAATTTCCTGCCGAAGGGGACGATATCAGTCGAAGAGTGATATTTGCACACACACACACGTCTCGTGTGTCATCCCGGATGTTTTGTATCACCGTAGCAAGTCGGATTAACAATCATATGTACGGAAAATACACGGAGACACGTATCTTTCAATGTTTTCGGACATCCCCGAATGTTCGCGTTACATTTATCTCCAGCACGATCGAAAATGATTGAGATAATAGATCCTATAAATATTTATTTATAGGATCTTCGCGCGCGAGATTATCTCCGATAATTTTGCACCGTCGTCGCGCGCACTGTACACGTCACAAATTGTATAACGAATTGAAGATTTGCAAACGTTTCTTTCCGATCGCGCCGAGTTAGTTCGGCTCGTTTGCGGCGCCGCAACACCGTGTAGCGATTTTTTTTTTTTTTAATTCATTCGCCATGTGACAATAATCACAATTTTTACAACACCGCGGGTCGGAAACAAAAGCTCGGCGCGGTTTTTACGAACTTGTGATTGATGTTGTGTTTTGAATTTCGCAAGCAAGCCGCGCGTGATATTAAAAAAAATCTCCCTCGTCGAGCTATGCAATTATGCAATTATTTCGGGAGTACGCGCGAACGAGTTGACGGGGCAACTCGCGCAACAACATCATATTTTGTCATTTCCCCATTTTCGTCGGCGAATAAAATCCGAAGCGAGAAATCGAGAAGGAACGAGAACTTTTCTTTTTTTTTTTTTTCCGTAGAGAACGGAATAAATTTCATCGAGTTTCTAACTAGAATGTGTGACTTGTACGTCTTAATCAAACTTGTTTCGACGAACGGAAACCCGGAATGGGGGAGGATTTGACGACTGGATCGATTATCGGTTTTCATCGGACGCAATTCGGGATATTCAGATATTTTATTGGCGCAAAGTCAACGTTTCTTCTTCCCGCAAAAACAGACCGAGAATCTCTCATATTCTTTGACAAGGCTTTCGCACGGCAAATTGTGCGGCATTTTGTGCGCGATAAGTAACCGTATTATATTTCCGCGCAAAATCAATCACTCGTCGATCACTCACCCTTGTCTTGATTTATCGGAATTATTAATCGCAGCAACGCGGCTCGACGAATTCCACGTAACGCAGTAACATTTTATTAAGAATCCGCGTTGCATTACAGGTGAATGATTGATGCGCACGTTGATTGACGTTAGGAAACCTCGATGCCCCTCGAACGCGCTCACAAATAGTTAACTTTGAGTTTATCGATCCTTCAGAGTAACAAATTTCGTAGCATTCTACGTTACGTCGGCGACCGGGGAGTACATTAATAATCCCCGCGCCGGGTTGCAATTAATTGGCTTGCTGAAGTAGGTTTCCTCGAGCGGGGCAACGTTTTGGCGTTGATTATATCTGCACCGAAGTAATAAGATCCAGTTATCCTGGCGAGAGTCCAGAAACAAGGAGTTATAACGCTCCTCTGACTAAACAAACGAAACACGTTGCGCAAAGATCGAGAAAAGACGGGGAAACGAATTGTATGCGGCGTACTACTCGCTTCAAAGTTCGTCCGCGTGAAATTATCGTCAAACCAAAAAAAAAGAAAACTCTCGCTCCCCGAATTTTACGTCTCTCACAAGTGTTTTTTTTTTTGTACCAAACGTAATATATATTTTACATAATTTGAGTATTGTTTTTTTTTTTCTAGAGAAATAATGTCCTAAGACATACGGTTTCGAAAATGGTTTATCTTCGTCTCGATACGATCGTTTCTCCGTTTGACTTCTTGATTTAATTTAACGACGGTTTGAAAGAAACAAACTCTGACATCGAGAAGAACGAGAGATCTTGCAAGGAGTCGACCCTCTCGAAAAGAATGCGACAATATCCCGCCTGTCGTGTAGCAACGGTTGAGCGAAATTCTCTCAGACGTGAAGGCAAGAGAGAGAGGAGAGAGAGAGAGAGAGAGAGAGAGAGAGAGTGCTTAAGCTTCTCGGGAGGATCTATGGGATTCGTGGTCGGAAACGCAAGGACGGTGATCGATGTATAATCACAGAAACTGTACAATTCTCCTCGTGTACCACACGTGCACTCCCGTGACTGCAACATCTTATAGCGCGCGCGCGCACACACGTATTCCCTCGCCGGCAGGAAGAAACTAATGCCGGCAATTCAAAAGTTTTCCGGGTTAGAGCGTTGAAGAAGAATGGCAATCGCTGATGCCTCGCCGGCGCGGAATGAAAAATTAATCCTGCATCCACAATGAAACGCCGCGCGCCTTTTTGGGACACGGGATCTCTCCTTCTCTCTCTCTTTCTCTCTCTCTCTTTCTCTTCGGAGAAACTCTGAACTCAATATCTTTTTTGTGAACATTTTGCAGTGTCTTTTTTTTAGTACCTCATTTTTTAACGTTTTAAATTTACATATTAATGTTACAAGATGAGTTTTAAGGCAAATAGATAGATTCGATGTTCGATTTCCGATTTCGGGGGGAGATAATGCGAAAACCGCAGCCAGTTTAGGAGAACTCTCTCCGAGTTCTCCGGAGCTCTCTTAAATATCTGCGAACTCGCGATAAATTCGGCCATTGGAGCGTGGCCGACCGGATTATTTATCCCAAGATTATTTCCTCGTACAATTCCAACTTCCTGTCTAATCCTACCACTCTATCGCTCGCCAAAGTCACCGAGGTTTCGAATCGCGAGTTCGCTCGCGATGGCGGTTTACGCCGAGTTTCCGTTCGTCCGCGCGATCGGCAAAAAGATGGCATTACCAGCGTCTCTCACGGGGACTGTGCTTTTCTTTCAGGAAAGTCGTCGAACAATTTCTCAACGGATTATATAGAGATTTGCTTTCCGGGAAAAGTTGGCTAATTCCTTTACAAGTTCCGCGCTGTTCGCGGAAGAAGTTTCGCCCTGCGTCGCCTCGCCGTCCATCCTCTTTCCCGCAATTTTCATTCCCCTTTCGCGATTCTCTCGTTTCCCGCGTTTTCGCACGATGACAATGACATAATTTGCTCTCGTTTCGGAGCGCGGACTCGTTGACGCGACGAAATTAACTCTCGTCGCGGATTTTCAAACCCCCCGGATTAACAGGATATATCGTGCGGACATTTAAAACAACAGCAACAGGCGACGGAGAGCGTCCGTATACAATATATATGTTTTAATTAGCAACACGTATTCGCGCGTTGCGAAGATTTTCATGTTTTGACTCGAGAAACACGGAAACGTGATGTGTGCACGATTTATCCGATACGATTAACTAATAAACATCGGAAAATAAAACTGCAACTGGTTATTTGCTTAAAAAAATTCGTTCGTTCGCTACCGTTTCTGCGCTTTTTTTCCCAGATTGATTTTGTGTCGAGCATTATATCTCTCTCTCTTTCTTCTTAAATACTTCAATAAAAACACACAACGCTCACCGCGCTCTGATTAAACATCGTGCAACCATCTTTTTACAGAGCGATAATGGATCGCGGATATCTGATGTTTTTAGCGTTCTGTCTGCTATTGTCGGAACACGAAGCGGACGATAAGCACCGAACAACGCTCTCGCGTAAACGACGTTACGTTGTTTTTCCTGAGGGTTCCACGTTTTCCGTGAGTATATCGCATCAAAACATCAATCCTCTTTCGAAACTCGAGCTGATGAATAATAACGCTCTTTGAAATTAAAAAAGAAAAAAAAAAAAAAACGTCAACGCAGAATAATCTGAAATAGCAAGACAATTATGTATTATTCATAACGTATACACCCCGATATCGCAATATTCTCACTTGACCCTTGGCCACCAGCTTTTTATTATTAATTTAATTTTATATCTTTTTTAATTTAACATATTTTATTGTACAAGGAGCGAATCTCTCTCGCGAGATACTGCGCGCGCGCTAATTAACCTGATAATTAATAATTACTTACTGATTCTCTCAAAACTAGCAAGTGCTTAATTTCCCGATTATATGCGATAAAGCTCGTACAACTTACCTCGTTAAATATATATTTAAATATATATTTCTGATTTCTTGATATTAATAGACGTCGAAGAAGTGAAATTGCAGCATCGTGTGCGTTCGCGATTTCTTTGCAGATCGCTCTCTGCATGACCGTGCACACGTTAACCCCGGACAATATTTTCACGGAGGGTCTCAACTGGGGTATCTCCTACGATCTGCCCAACGAGAGCAAACCCGTTCTCGAACCATTTCTCGAGCTGAGAAACGACAAACTCAAATCCGGCAACAAGCATCGTTACGATGCGACCGCAATCGTTAATAAAAACGGCGCTATAAAATATTCAGGATGGAATAATAACGATGTCAATTCTTACTTCGCGCCCAACAGAAAGAAGTATCGCAAGTCGGAGTATTACTATTTGCAAAGAAGACACCGAAGGGATCTTTACAACAAATTGGAGGTCATTATGAACGCGTAAGTGTTTTCTCTGTCGCAAAATTCAAAACAAGTATCGAAACCCGCGATGCGCTTATAAATCTCTCAGAAGAGAGCAAGACTTATAGCGTGAAGGTATAGAAATTCCAACCTCGTGCTTTTCGAATTGATCAGAAATTCGCACGCTCCTTCGCGCGAATCGACAATGTGCAACAATAGCGACGAAACAGTCGAGCGCGTTAAGCGTGCCGTAACAATAACGCGACAGTTTAATGATCGATGCGGTCTGAATTGCGATCCAATTAATTCCGTTCTTGTGTAACAATTAATAACACCCCGTTCGCCCGCGGGGCAGTTAAGACAATCATTTCAGTCCGCGCGGATCAACGTCTCGCTCGCCACGTTGTCTCGTCTATTCAAATTCAGGAGATATGTATTAACCCCGGGATATATATATATATATCTCTTTCTCTTTCTCTCTCTCTCTCTTTCCAGAAGGCAACAAATTTTCAACGACAGACACGCCTCGGGACGAGAGACATGCTCGATAATAAAATAGAACCGCGCGGAGCTTTAGAGGCTCCAGAACGATCGAGCCGTCTTGTCTCTTTATGGAGACCTCGTCGAAGTGCTTCAGTTTCTTCAGTGTCATCTATCGCGACGTACCGACGTATCGGCCGCATTAACTGGGAAAAGCCGATATATCGCAATAATGGACGGCTTTGCGAGACCGAGCGCCTTCATCGCACGTCGTCGACGTGCAGGTGAAGAGACACGCTATTATCGCGTCTCTCTCTCTCTCTCCCTTTTTCTCTCTCTCTCTTTCTCTCTTTGTTATTAGGATCGCAATTTGTCAGGCTGTATTATGCGAACGGAAACACATATGACATGACAATTATGCGAAGTTATTTCGCTCAATTAATATTAATCGTTTAATACGTATTTAAATTGCCTTTTACTGGCCGATAATATCGAAACGTTACCAGAAAGTAATATTTTATAATATGAGACTCTTTTTGGCGGGGGAAGAGAAGCGAGTGTCGCGTCACAGATACTTGATGAAATATCTAGATAAGATAGAGAGAAAGAGAGAGATAAAAAATTTAATTAATGTAATGAAACGTTTAATTGATGCAAAATAAACTTTAAAAAGAGAGAATTTCTTCTCGTAAAATAAAGATAAATTATGTCTCTCTCTCTCTCTGTCTCTCTCTCTCTCTCTCTCTTTTTGCAAATCGTATCTTTATTAATGCCAACTTTAGTTAGGTTTTAACGTGACAAACGCGCGAGAATTGATGTGACACGGTAATGCCCCCGCGTTTTCCTAAACTCAATTGATGGAATGTAATACCGATGTTGGGGCACACATTTTATCCGATCTCTGATCACGGTGCATTGACATCGAATAGCTTTGGATAACGTATCAAAAGTCTGACAAAATACTCATAGAGCATGTATTACCGGATAAGACCGCGTAAAATGTTCTTTTATAACCCCGGATCACACTCCGCCATTGTCTTTTATTCTCGTATACGATAATAGCGGAGCAATCCCGCGAGTTGCTTCATTGAATTATTCACAATATCCATATCGGTATTACACTTCATATTCCGTTAACTTTTCTCTACGTAGGGTATCTCTTTTAAACAAAACTTAGCCGCAATTTTGTTCAAATCGATCTTCTCCCGCAGAAAACACGCATCGAGACTTTTTCTTCATAATCCCTCGATTTTTCTCGAAGCGAGTAAAAACGATCGTATTTGAGAAACATCAAGTTAAGCAAAAAAAATTGAATTCACGTTATTCGTAACGCTTGCAAGACAAACAACCCCGTGCAACCCCGTGCAACCCCGTGCGGTAGACATTGCAAGACGACAAAAAGATCGACAATTTGTCGAGTTCTCGCATAAATTCACCGAACGCGTTTATTGCGTCTTCCCCGGTGGACGCTTTTAAAGCTTGTTTATCGAACGACATTCAGCGGTGTCGTTTACTCCGCGTCGGGCGGAATAACGATGGGCGAGCGCGTTAGAGTATTGCGGCTAATATCCGCACGAAATCATTCATCCCTTCGCTCCGAGAAGATGCTAAAGTGGTGGTTTATATACTCGGTCGTCTTGCAAGCGATCGTTCGGGTTATGCAAGGATCTTGGCGCGCGCATGTGTGTGTGTGTGTGTGTATGCGAGCGGTAACGTCGCTTGTGTGGTTTATAAGGGATCGGGCCGACGTTAGTCGTGCGGCTCAAGGGTGACATGAATCAGAGGGTGGCGTTTCCACGGCCGCCTGATAGTCTCGGCAAAGCGGGGGGTTGTGTTTCTGAACGAGTCCGGCAAACCGTTTATCCGCTTCTCCAGGCCAACGACCATGAGAAAATAGTTTCTCTCTCTTCCGCAAACATAACCAGATTTATACTCCGTGTGTCGGAAAGGTCCTATTATTTTCATCGACGACACTCCGATTCCCGTTGGCCAAATAAGGTCACGGTAATGACCGATCGGACGTTTTTTTGCTCCCGAGAACGAACCGCACAAAATGATACTTAACTCGGAAAATAACATTAGATCCGGTAACGAGAGACGTGTAGAGAGGATTCTTTTGAAAAAACGAGACCTCTCTCTATCTCTCGATGCAATCTAATAACACGCGTTATTTTCCTTTAATGAAAAAAAAAAAAGAACACAGGCATCATTTGTACATCGCAGCTCTATTCGGAATGTAATGTGTCATTAATAATCTTATCAGAAAAAGCATGTGTAAATAATCACAATCGATTCTATC